AACTAAGGAACTAAGTGGAGAAAACACTTTTCGTCTATGAGAAAGAATTCACTAAATGATGAAATGGTTCGCAATGCATGCAACACTTCTTTCTTACGATGGCTAGAATTGTAGACAAGTCCTCTCTTACATATCTGGGCCATCTTTATCCCAGTAAGTCGCAGTCATATACAGTTACATGTATATTGTTCACCCGTGCATAGCCGATAGGATCATGCGCTGTTTCTTGAATATAGAATGAGGCCAGCCACCAAAGTACATTCATTCAACGTAGAAGAGTTGACTTGGTATGGTTACAGCTTGAATTGTGTTGAAACAAGTAAGATAAAATGCCCTTTTGGAGATGCAGAAATGTCAAGACAGGTTTGTGTTCATCCGCCTGTCATCTGAATAGAAATATCTGATTGCCCAGAGCAGAGCCCGGATAGCTCAGTCGGTAGAGCATCAGACTTTTAAGCGGTCTGTCACAATCAGAGTGATCTGAGGGTCCAGGGTTCGAGTCCCTGTTCGGGCGATCCTCTTTTATTTCACAATATCAGTGTGAATACTATAGAACATTGCAAGAACAAAGTATTTCAAGCAGTGATATCCATACAATGGGCTGGCATTATTTACAACTAAGGAACTAAGTGGAGAAAACACTTTTCGTCTATGAGAAAGAATTCACTAAATGATGAAATGGTTCGCAATGCATGCAACACTTCTTTCTTACGATGGCTAGAATTGTAGACAAGTCCTCTCTTACATATCTGGGCCATCTTTATCCCAGTAAATCGCAGTCATATACAGTTACATGTATATTGTTCACCCGTGCATAGCCGATAGGATCATGCGCTGTTTCTTGAATATAGAATGAGGCCAGCCACCAAAGTACATTCATTCAACGTAGAAGAGTTGACTTGGTATGGTTACAGCTTGAATTGTGTTGAAACAAGTAAGATAAAATGCCCTTTTGGAGATGCAGAAATGTCAAGACAGGTTTGTGTTCATCCGCCTGTCATCTGAATAGAAATATCTGATTGCCCAGAGCAGAGCCCGGATAGCTCAGTCGGTAGAGCATCAGACTTTTAAGCGGTCTGTCACAATCAGAGTGATCTGAGGGTCCAGGGTTCGAGTCCCTGTTCGGGCGATCCTCTTTATTTCACAATATCAGTGTGAATACTATAGAACATTGCAAGAACAAAGTATTTCAAGCAGTGATATCCATACAATGGGCTGGCATTATTTACAACTAAGGAACTAAGTGGAGAAAACACTTTTCGTCTATGAGAAAGAATTCACTAAATGATGAAATGGCTCGCAATGCATGCAACACTTCTTTCTTACGATGGCTAGAATTGTAGACAAGTCCTCTCTTACATATCTGGGCCATCTTTATCCCAGTAAGTCGCAGTCATATACAGTTACATGTATTGTTCACCCGTGCATAGCCGATAGGATCATGCGCTGTTTCTTGAATATAGAATGAGGCCAGCCACCAAAGTACATTCATTCAACGTAGAAGAGTTGACTTGGTATGGTTACAGCTTGAATTGTGTTGAAACAAGTAAGATAAAATGCCCTTTGGAGATGCAGAAATGTCAAGACAGGTTTGTGTTCATCCGCCTGTCATCTGAATAGAAATATCTGATTGCCCAGAGCAGAGCCCGGATAGCTCAGTCGGTAGAGCATCAGACTTTTAAGCGGTCTGTCACAATCAGAGTGATCTGAGGGTCCAGGGTTCGAGTCCCTGTTCGGGCGATCCTCTTTTTATTTCACAATATCAGTGTGAATACTATAGAACATTGCAAGAACAAAGTATTTCAAGCAGTGATATCCATACAATGGGCTGGCATTATTTACAACTAAGGAACTAAGTGGAGAAAACACTTTTCGTCTATGAGAAAGAATTCACTAAATGATGAAATGGCTCGCAATGCATGCAACACTTCTTTCTTACGATGGCTAGAATTGTAGACAAGTCCTCTCTTACATATCTGGGCCATCTTTATCCCAGTAAATCGCAGTCATATACAGTTACATGTATATTGTTCACCCGTGCATAGCCGATAGGATCATGCGCTGTTTCTTGAATATAGAATGAGGCCAGCCACCAAAGTACATTCATTCAACGTAGAAGAGTTGACTTGGTATGGTTACAGCTTGAATTGTGTTGAAACAAGTAAGATAAAATGCCCTTTTGGAGATGCAGAAATGTCAAGACAGGTTTGTGTTCATCCGCCTGTCATCTGAATAGAAATATCTGATTGCCCAGAGCAGAGCCCGGATAGCTCAGTCGGTAGAGCATCAGACTTTTAAGCGGTCTGTCACAATCAGAGTGATCTGAGGGTCCAGGGTTCGAGTCCCTGTTCGGGCGATCCTCTTTTTATTTCACAATATCAGTGTGAATACTATAGAACATTGCAAGAACAAAGTATTTCAAGCAGTGATATCCATACAATGGGCTGGCATTATTTACAACTAAGGAACTAAGTGGAGAAAACACTTTTCGTCTATGAGAAAGAATTCACTAAATGATGAAATGGTTCGCAATGCATGCAACACTTCTTTCTTACGATGGCTAGAATTGTAGACAAGTCCTCTCTTACATATCTGGGCCATCTTTATCCCAGTAAATCGCAGTCATATACAGTTACATGTATATTGTTCACCCGTGCATAGCCGATAGGATCATGCGCTGTTTCTTGAATATAGAATGAGGCCAGCCACCAAAGTACATTCATTCAACGTAGAAGAGTTGACTTGGTATGGTTACAGCTTGAATTGTGTTGAAACAAGTAAGATAAAATGCCCTTTGGAGATGCAGAAATGTCAAGACAGGTTTGTGTTCATCCGCCTGTCATCTGAATAGAAATATCTGATTGCCCAGAGCAGAGCCCGGATAGCTCAGTCGGTAGAGCATCAGACTTTTAAGCGGTCTGTCACAATCAGAGTGATCTGAGGGTCCAGGGTTCGAGTCCCTGTTCGGGCGATCCTCTTTTATTTCACAATATCAGTGTGAATACTATAGAACATTGCAAGAACAAAGTATTTCAAGCAGTGATATCCATACAATGGGCTGGCATTATTTACAACTAAGGAACTAAGTGGAGAAAACACTTTTCGTCTATGAGAAAGAATTCACTAAATGATGAAATGGTTCGCAATGCATGCAACACTTCTTTCTTACGATGGCTAGAATTGTAGACAAGTCCTCTCTTACATATCTGGGCCATCTTTATCCCAGTAAATCGCAGTCATATACAGTTACATGTATATTGTTCACCCGTGCATAGCCGATAGGATCATGCGCTGTTTCTTGAATATAGAATGAGGCCAGCCACCAAAGTACATTCATTCAACGTAGAAGAGTTGACTTGGTATGGTTACAGCTTGAATTGTGTTGAAACAAGTAAGATAAAATGCCCTTTGGAGATGCAGAAATGTCAAGACAGGTTTGTGTTCATCAGCCTGTCATCTGAATAGAAATATCTGATTGCCCACAGCAGAGCCCGGATAGCTCAGTCGGTAGAGCATCAGACTTTTAAGCGGTCTGTCACAATCAGAGTGATCTGAGGGTCCAGGGTTCGAGTCCCTGTTCGGGCGATCCTCTTTTTATTTCACAATATCAGTGTGAATACTATAGAACATTGCAAGAACAAAGTATTTCAAGCAGTGATATCCATACAATGGGCTGGCATTATTTACAACTAAGGAACTAAGTGGAGAAAACACTTTTCGTCTATGAGAAAGAATTCACTAAATGATGAAATGGTTCGCAATGCATGCAACACTTCTTTCTTACGATGGCTAGAATTGTAGACAAGTCCTCTCTACATATCTGGGCCATCTTTATCCCAGTAAATCGCAGTCATATACAGTTACATGTATATTGTTCACCCGTGCATAGCCGATAGGATCATGCGCTGTTTCTTGAATATAGAATGAGGCCAGCCACCAAAGTACATTCATTCAACGTAGAAGAGTTGACTTGGTATGGTTACAGCTTGAATTGTGTTGAAACAAGTAAGATAAAATGCCCTTTTGGAGATGCAGAAATGTCAAGACAGGTTTGTGTTCATCCGCCTGTCATCTGAATAGAAATATCTGATTGCCCAGAGCAGAGCCCGGATAGCTCAGTCGGTAGAGCATCAGACTTTTAAGCTGGTCTGTCACAATCAGAGTGATCTGAGGGTCCAGGGTTCGAGTCCCTGTTCGGGCGATCCTCTTTTTATTTCACAATATCAGTGTGAATACTATAGAACATTGCAAGAACAAAGTATTTCAAGCAGTGATATCCATACAATGGGCTGGCATTATTTACAACTAAGGAACTAAGTGGAGAAAACACTTTTCGTCTATGAGAAAGAATTCACTAAATGATGAAATGGCTCGCAATGCATGCAACACTTCTTTCTTACGATGGTTAGAATTGTAGACAAGTCCTCTCTTACATATCTGGGCCATCTTTATCCCAGTAAGTCGCAGTCATATACAGTTATATTGTTCACCCGTGCATAGCCGATAGGATCATGTGCTGTTTCTTGAATATAGAATGAGGCCAGTCACCAAAGTACATTCATTCAACGTAGAAGAGTTGACTTGGTATGGTTACAGCTTGAATTGTGTTGAAACAAGTAAGATAAAATGCCCTTTTGGAGATGCAGAAATGTCAAGACAGGTTTGTGAGCCACGAAAAGGGACACATTGCACGAGCTTGTCCACAAAAAAGACATTGTGGCACTTGCAAACATTTGATGAGACAATGCATATGTGACATAAACAGGAATGAAGAACCAGTCACAGAACAAACTAGACACACATCTGTTTCAGAAGATGAGACAATCGAAGACAGTGTGTATGTGGATCCATATAGTTTATGTATGGAACCGATTGAAGGAGAGTCAGCCAATTATGGAAATGACTGGTCTTTGTCGGGCCCTACTAAAACCAACAACAAAGTAAACGACAAAACGGATAATGCATCTGTCATTGAACCTCGTGATGTTGCACAAGAGAGAATGAATGTGGAAAGTGAGAATGAAAAGGGTGGGAGTAAAAGTGAGAATGAAGAAGAAGGAAAGGGAGAGAAGAAGTTATTGGCGAGGAGAACACTGATCACAAACCATCTCCAGCCAATGGTAAGCAGAATACCAAATTTAAAAAATACAAGGTATGAATGAGGAAAGAGTTGTCAGCTTGTCTGAGGAAAGAAAGAGGAAAAAGCAGTAAATGGAGGGAATGGAATGAGTAAGAAGCAAATGAGAAAGGTCAAGGCTAGAGGTAAAGTTGATGGTAAAAACTTGACGTGAATGACTTTGAATGTGAATACGAAGATTAACAATGTATCACCTCTATTACACCTTAATTGTCATGGTGGTAATCATGTCATGGAATGTGAATGGTCTGAGAGATGTTTCTAAAGTTCATCATGTTTTCACAACTGTGAAAAATTCACATGCTGATATTTGTTTTCTTCAGGAAACTTTCTGGGATAACGATTTCGTAAAACACTATAAACATCTGTGGCAAGGGCAAATATTTTTTAATAATTGTCCCAATGAAAAAAAGGAAGGGAGTGGCAATACTCTTCTCGTCACGGTTTCCCAACAAGGTAAATTTTCACAGTTGTGACAACACTGGTAGACTTTAAAAGTGACTTTGAACATGATAGCGTTCTGTATTCATGTGTAAATGTTTATGCACCAAATAATGCAACTGAGAGAATTGTATTTTATGACTTATTAGTTACATATTTATCAGGAGATAATGTGATAGCAGCAGGAGATTATAATGAGATAACAGATGTATTCATGGATAGAGCAGCTAATATGAAATCATTTAATATAAAGAGTAGTCATAAATTACAAGACATCATACGTTGCAAAACCTATGTGATATATGGAGATGCAGAAATCCAGATAAGAGAGAATTCACACGACAGCAAATTGTCGAAGGTGAAATGAAACAGTCTCGTATTGATTTCATTTTGATTTCTAGATCCCTAATTCCTCATGTAATGAATACATATATAAAATATTCAACTAAAGCGATCATAATATCACATGCCTAAATTTAGATTTCTCTCATGTAGAGAAAGGTTAACTGGATTATGGGTTTTCAATAATCAGTTGCTTCAGAACACTGAATTTCGGCTGAGGGTGATAAGCATTATCAATGAAAGTTTATTATGTCCACTTTATGAAGAAGAAACATTAATATGGTGGGATAACCTTAAATATAAACTTAAAAATGTGCAATTTATTTTCTTCAAAAAGTCAAAGAAGAAAATGTGAATACTACAAATTGCAAAATAATTTACGCCGCGAATATGACAAGTTATCTAAACATCCTAATCATGATCTTACGTACATCCAAAGTCTTCATAGAGATTTGGAGAAATATGAACAAACTAAATGTCAAGGGGCTATTCTACGCTCAAAAGTTCAGTGGGCTTTAGAATGTGATAAAAACACATCTTTTTCTTACATTTAGAAAAATGTAAACAAGAATCTAATTGCATCAAAGAAATTATGACAAAAAATGGTTTAACTCGTCGAACTGAAGATATTCTTGATCACGCATATTCATTTTATTCCAAGTTATATTCAATCGGAGAAACTGATCTATATAAGCAAGATAAAATTCTAGATTTAATAACTGATGTTCTTCCAGATAAAGATAGAGAAAGTCTTGAAGATGCTATTTCCATAGAAGATCTAACTAAAGCTCTGAAAGGTATGAAAAGAAATAAATCCCCCAGGCAACGATGGACTTACAGTTGAATTTTACGCTGCATTTTGGGAGATACTTAAACCCATATTTGGACGAGTGGTGAAATGTATTTTTGATGAAAAAACCATGTCAAGATCAATGAAAAAAGGTGTTATTAGCCTCTTCTATAAGAAAAGGGGTGATAAAACAGACCTAAGGAATTTTAGACCAATTTCGTTACTCAATGTTGATTGTAAACTTATATCTCGTTCACTTGCTCTTAAATTAAAAACAATTATGACAAAAATAATTTCGCCGGAACAGTCATGTTGTGTTCCAGGAAGGGATATTTCCGACAACATTCTCTCTATGAGAGACGTTATAGAAATAGTGGATAAAGATAATGAAGATGCATATCTAATCACGATTGATCAAGAAAAAGCATTTGATCGCGTCTCACATTCATTCATTTTCAAGATTTTGGAAAAACTAAATTTTGGTACATCATTCATTTCTTGGATCAAAACTTTATACACTGACTTAAAAAGCAGTGTAAAAAATCAATGGTCACCTTACACCATATTTTCCAATAGAACAATCTGTCCGACAAGGTGATCCCCTCAGTAGCTTAATTTTTGTTATTGTTAGTCAACCCTTGAACTTACTCATTAAGGCTAACTCATCTATACATGCGGTGCAAATCACAAATCAGTGCTCATCTTTAATATATCAACATGCAGACGACACTACTGTTACAGTGTCTGATGCACAGTCTGTATATAATACTTTCGACACTGTGAATGACTATTGTGATGCAACCGGGGCAAAGGTCAATCTAACAAAATCTCAAGTTCTGTGTTTAGGTAAAGCCCGGTCAAACAATATAAATTTTAACTTACCAGTTACTGTTAAAAATGACTGTGTCAAAATATTAGGGATTTTCCTTGGTCCTGATAAAGCTCAATGTGAAAGCAAAAACTGGAAAACCAAAATATCTAAAATTAAGTCTCTGTTAGGGTTGTGGTCACAAAGAAACCTATCCTTACAGGGTAAGTCTATTGTGATAAATACGTTCATAATGTCAAGGTTGTGGTATACTATACATGTAGTGCCTGTTCCAGAGTGGGCAAGAAAGAAATAAATTCAGCAATTTCACATTTTATCTGGGGCGGTAAAACCCCACTGATCAAGCAGTCGACATGCTGTGGTCATTTTACACAGGGGGGATTATCAATTCCATATTTTAAATACAAAATATATGCATTTAGATTAAAAGTCATTCGAAAACTCATGGATGCTAATTTCCATGCAGTATGGAAGCAAACGTGTTCTGTGTTCATGTCCCAATACATGAACATGGGTTTGAAGGAAAAATATTTTCAGTATTGTTTACAGTCGTCCTGGTTTGACCCATATGAACACGTTCTATGCTGAGGTTTTGATTGCATGGGACGAAATCACGTGCGGCAGGCGACTGCTTGTCACTAAGCACGAGGATATCATGTCGCAGCCTTTGTTTCATAATCCGCACATTTGCTATAAGGGCAAAATGCTGTTGTTTAGATTTTTTCATTGATTCAGGCATTGTTACTATTGCCGATATTTGTTATGAGTTTATCCCAGGCTTTTACCTCTTCCAGCAATAAAAGAAATTATACACGACCACAGACATGATATACCTGTGTCAGAGATACAGACAGCATACTGTATTATCATTCAGTCATTACCAAGTGAGTGGTTGTCAATTTTGTCAAGTAAAACGATAAAACATAACAATGAACATTATTCTGATGCTGTTATTTGCAAAGATGATGTAAATATTTCTTCTAACGATCTCACAGTTAAATTTAATTATTCCTTATTTGTTAATGCATTATTTTGTGAGCCAACAGCCATTTCATTCTGGGATAACTATGCAATTGACATTAACTGGCCAAAAGTTTGGAAAAGTGTATTCTTGATAGATAAATCCTCTGAACAAATTGATTTGGATTTCAGGTTAAGTCATAATATTATCTACACAAATGAAAAATTATTCAAATATGGCAAAACAGACACTAACCTGTGTCCGGTTTGTAAAACTGAAGTTGAAAATTTGCTTCATATGTTTGTATTCTGTGATCAATTGTATGACACAATTTCCGTTCTTAAATCTCTGTTCACAGATTTAATGATGGACACTGGATTTTCATTTAACCAGTTAGTTTCCTGGCTTCTATTTGGTTTTAATCATGACAAATCATTCTCGTATGAGCACAGTATCAACATATTGCTATCTGTATATAGAATCTCTGTTTTCAAGAAAAGAGCGGTTCTTTCTTTACAGAGATGCAATCTCAGTCTGGAAAAATTATTCAACTGTTACGCAAAACAACACTTTAATCTGTTGTGGTCAAGGTATCAATTTGAAAACCGTGCTGATAAGTTTATTCAGCGATATATCATGCCAGTAAACTTCCTGGAGTTAGACGGTAGTAAGCTTGTATTTAAGTATCCGTTTCAAGAATGAAATGCATGTAATGTTATACATGACTTGAATGCAATACAACATCTGTGATACCTTTTAGCCCTTTTATGTAACATCATAAATGCTTTATGTACAATACATTCTGTAATAAAATTTTATTAAAGAAAAAAAAGAGCATCAGACTTTTAAGCGGTCTGTCACAATCAGAGTGATCTGAGGGTCCAGGGTTCGAGTCCCTGTTCGGGCGATCCTCTTTTTATTTCACAATATCAGTGTGAATACTATAGAACATTGCAAGAACAAAGTATTTCAAGCAGTGATATCCATACAATGGGCTGGCATTATTTACAACTAAGGAACTAAGTGGAGAAAACACTTTTCGTCTATGAGAAAGAATTCACTAAATGATGAAATGGCTCGCAATGCATGCAACACTTCTTTCTTACGATGGCTAGAATTGTAGACAAGTCCTCTCTTACATATCTGGGCCATCTTTATCCCAGTAAGTCGCAGTCATATACAGTTATATTGTTCACCCGTGCATAGCCGATAGGATCATGTGCTGTTTCTTGAATATAGAATGAGGCCAGCCACCAAAGTACATTCATTCAACGTAGAAGAGTTGACTTGGTATGGTTACAGCTTGAATTGTGTTGAAACAAGTAAGATAAAATGCCCTTTTGGAGATGCAGAAATGTCAAGACAGGTTTGTGATCATCCGCCTGTCATCTGAATAGAAATATCTGATTGCCCAGAGCAGAGCCCGGATAGCTCAGTCGGTAGAGCATCAGACTTTTAAGCGGTCTGTCACAATCAGAGTGATCTGAGGGTCCAGGGTTCGAGTCCCTGTTCGGGCGATCCTCTTTTTATTTCACAATATCAGTGTGCATACTATAGAACATTGCAAGAACAAAGTATTTCAACCAGTGATATCCATACAATGGGCTGGCATTATTTACA